GCACAGTGAGCCCACGCGGGCCGCATGCGGCCCCCGGGCCGCATGTTGTGCAGGCCTGATCTAGAGTTAACTAGTATGAACAGATGAACACGACTGCTCAAGAGCAGACAAAGTACGACCATACACACTCAAGTGAAGGGACTGAAGGTCTGGGTTAAAAATCCTGCCCCTCCACCCCCTGGGACACGAGGTCTGGAGACAGAGGAAGGTATATGAAGACTCCACTGGACAGTTGAAAGAGATCAGTAAACCACTGCTGATGTTGCCAAGATTGGGCAATGAGTATTATCTTGCCTTATCCTAACCCCTCTCTATCACCTTCTGTATGAAGGGAAAAATAAATATATCAGACCCCTCGCCCAGCGCAGCAGGAAAGCATCTGACACACAGACTGTTCCTACCCACTCTAGAATAGGAACAACGACATGTTATTTGGAACCTAGTTGCAAATAGGGTCAACCCAACTGTAGACCTATCTGGAAAATAGGGTCAACCACCTAATCTTTTAGGGACCTCATGTGCATCTGAGAGCAGTCTCTGTTGAGACTATCCACAACTACGTTGCTTTCCCCAGCCAAATGTAGTGCCACAGGACACATTTCATGGCAGATACACCAATCCCACAGATTTATCACCTCTGCAAACAAGGGGGCAGAGTGATCACCCACTGTTTGTTAATATAACAACATGTCTGCAAAGTATCTGTTACTATCTGCACAACCTTTCCTGGCAGCTGATGGAGGAATGCTCTTAGAGCCAGATGAACTGTTCTTAGTTCCAGTATGTTGATGTGCAATGTTCTTTCCTGAGAAGACCAATGTCCTCAAACTGTTTAAATGATTCAAGCATACCCCCCAACCATTGGGTGGGGCATCTGAAATCACTGTCCGAGATGGACCCGAAGAACTGAACTGCATACTTCAGAGCATGTTTGTCCTGCTTGCCCACCAGTCCAGAGAGACTATGATGTTCTGAAGTATAGTGATCAACAGCTAAAGGCTGTCTCAACTTCGACTGTAAGCCTGGGACCTGCCTCAGAGGTCTCATTTTTAAATTGGCAAAGTCACATAGGTAGTGGCTGCCATAAAACCCATGAGACTCAGGAAGAACCTCACCCTCTATGTGGGGCAACTTCAAATTCTTAACAGACACTACTGCATTTTGAGAGACCTGTCATCAGGTACAAAAAACTCTCGTTACCACTGAGTCTGATATGACACCTATGAAAAGGATCCTTTGTGTAGGACAGAGGATTGACTTTTGGATGCTGAGAAGAAAAGATTGGTCGTGGTAACTATGTGACAAGTCCTCACGCACAGCGACTTGATAGCCAATCGTTCATATAAGGGCAAACAAATATACCCTGCTTCCTCAGATACACCACCACCACAGAGAGGCACTTTGTAAATACCCTGGGTGCTGCAGAAAGGCAAAATGGAAGCACCTTGTACTGGAAATGGCTCCCAGCTACCACAAATCAAAGGTACTTTTGATGTTTCTGAAACTGCAATATGAAAATTAGTGTCCTTTAGATTGAGAGTTGGGAACCAATGCAAGACTGATAGCAAGGGATTACTGAAGACAAGGTCAGCGTATGGAAATGAAATTTCCATATGTGTTTGTTCAATTCCATCAAATCTAATATCAAATCAGAACCCTCCCCATCCTTCTTTAGTACCCAAAAATATCAGGAGTAAAAACCATGACCCTTTAGGTAAGCAAGAATCTCCTTGACTGCTCCTAACAAAGCAACTTCTCAACTTCTGTGAGAATTGCCTCATGAGAGGGGTCCCTGAAGAGGGACAGATGGGGGAGTTTGAGGAAGGCAGCATTTTTTAATTGAATGCCATAGCCTTTTCTTGTGATCTCTAAAATCCACTGGTTTGATGTTGTCTGCCTCCATTTGTGGATGAAAAGGGGTACACCCTGTCTCCAAAGGAGGGGGTAGAAAAAAGGTAGTTGGCTAGTCCTAGACTCTCAGGAATCACGTCAAAACTGAGGCATGGTGTTCCGGAAAGAGGGGGCTGACAGGGAAGTGGGCTATTTGGGTTTGGAACCTTGTTTGAAAGGTCTCTTTCTGTAACCGTTCTATGAGGCTTGTTGTTGGTAACTTGAGTCTCTGACTGAATGAAAAGTAGGGTGCTGAAGGCTGGGAGCATTGCTGCCTCTGCTACTGAAAGAAGGGCCAGACCTCCTTTCAATGGGTGGGATTAACCCCCGAGACTGAGCTGTCGAACTTGCATCCTTCATTATTTCTAGTAAGTTGCAAGTCTTTACACTGAAAAGACCTTCCCCTTCAAAAGGGAGATCGTCGAAGCTTACTTCTGGTGTCCATAATTATACAAGAGGATCAAAGCCATGCACGCATCCTGATAGTCACAGCAGACCCAATCCTTTGGCAGCAGTCTGAGGCACTGAAGGAAGCTCTGAGGGAATACCTGGCTACATTCTGACCCTCCAATAAGATGGCATTAACCAACCTTCTCCTGTCTTCAGGTACGTCCTGGAGAAGACAACATTCTCCCACAGAAGGAACTGGTCACAAGACATAACTGCATGATAATTCACCATCCTAATACCGAGGGATGAGGCGAACACCTTTCTCCCCAATGAGTTCATCTTCTTTCCCCTCTGTCACTCAAGGTGAAGTGTAGTTGTTCCAACCTCGCCCTGTTGCTGGCAGCAACTATTACCAGCAAGTTGTGCATAGAGTGGATATGAAAATACGAGAACCCATCAGAGGGTATCTGGTATAATTTGTCCGCCTTCTTTAAGATAGGTAGACAAGAGGTGGGATTGGATCACACAAATCTGGCCAACTACAAAAACCCCGCCAGGATGGGGAGTGATATCTGACTCTTGGCAGAGGTACCGAGATTATAAAATACCAGATATGAAGTCTCTTCCACTGGTACCACAAGGAGATTCAGAGTGGACAACGTGCAATTCACCAAGTCCTGAAATTGAAGTGTCCTCAGGAGGACAAAGTCACTCCCACGTTCATCCGGTGATAAGTCAGGCTTGAAGTCAGTTTCTAAATGCTTCTGTTGAAAGAAAAGGGTTTTCTCTTCATCATCATCATCGTCCTCAGACAGGGCATCAGGTATCACCATCTGCAGTGTCAACGGATCCAGGGGAATCAGATCACAGGATCTCTGGGCTTTCAGATTCCTTGCAGATGAAATGTCGCTTCCACATCCACAAGAAGATTAACTAAAGAGGTCTTGGCATGGTCATCAATAAAACCCTGGTCCCTGATACCCGGGGTTTTCAGAACCCAAAGCAGTGGTAACTTAAACTGTTTCACTCCACGGGCTATCAGGAATAAATCAATGCGAACACAGCAATTCTGTCTGATGAAAGGTTAATACAAGTAAGCGTGCACTTATCTAAAAGTGCAATTTATTAGATATAAGCGTACATAGACATAAGCAGTATGTTTAGAACAATCCAAATAATTACCTAGAATCTGAGATAGTATAATTTTCAGCAGGTCAGCAATGGCCCGTTGCTTCCCCACTGGGGAGTTTGGTATCAGAAAAAAGTCTCTCAGAATAGCTTCAGAGAATTGCCCCCAAGTACACTCTATTATATAGTCTTTTTACTAGACTAACTTTTACAAAACTACTGAGTCATCACCTCTCCTTACTTCAATAAACTACTTAAACATTAATTAGTCATAATAAGGTTCTATATCTAAGGTGCACAAATTCAAGATTCTCATCCACTTATTTTCTTTCAGTCTCAATTTGTTGACTCTTTCTCCCCCTCCTTCCATTCTGATTAGCAGAAACTGCAAGACTCTGGTTGTGTTTGACCTTTCCTCCAGAAGCCCTGCTTGTTCAAATTAACCCTTAACTATGTGGTGTTCTATTTTATTAATTCATGGTGGCTGAATGCACACAATATGATCGCAATTAGCTTGATCAAAATCTGGGGTATACACACCCCTCTAATACAGGGCAATAGCTCCAAGACTGCCAGTTTCCCTAACCACTGGGGGCCGGAAACATGCCAACAGGAGAAGGACCTAAGGATAGTCCAAACCTCAATACAGGTCTCTGTATTCTTCCTTTATCCTCCTCATGGAGAAGGTCTTTCTAGATCTGAGAAAGAATGTATCACAGATAGTAACAGATCTGGAGGGAGGAATGGGAATCCAGTCCTTTGTGGTAGACTTTGATGGAGACCTCAGAGGAGGGATCAGAAGATGATCCAAGAGAGGACCAACAACGGGATTTGTTTTCTTCCCAACTAGACACGAAGATGACAACCCTGGAACTGAGGATACACATCTCCTTTTATGACCTGTGCACTTCACACCTGGATCCAGGACATATATCGAACCTGAAAGGCAGACTTGGGTCGTCATAGTGACAGAACTTTCCAGAACTGAGAAAGTAGCCAGAATCGAAACAGAAATTGGGTCAGAGAATAACAGTGGATCTGAAGATACACATGGGTTTGTCTCTCTTGTTACTAAAGCTAGAGGTGGAACAGAACCCTGCTTTGGAATTGTGGCAGCTTTACCAGAATCAGACATGATCCATAGTTCTGATGCACAGGAACTGGCAATGCTAGAGTTGGCCATCTCGCTTCTATGCTGCTTCTTCCTCGGTGTCTCAAAATCCAAAACTCAAGGCAATGACGACCCTCATTCAGAGACTGCCACAGGAATTAGATCAAAGTCCGACTGCTGTGAGGCACGAGGTATAGCATGAACGAGAGCAGCCGAACTGTTCCTTAACCTTTCCTACAGAACCGGGTGGTGGGATCTGACCAGACAGCCATCAGTTTTGACATTATCACCTTGGGAGTTTGACTGGGGGAGCCACAGGAACTGATCCAGTCCCAGCAGGGGCTGCGGCTTCTTGGAACCCTGCAGTCGAGCGGAACAGACTGAGGCCACCGGGGCCAAGGCTGGCTCTTCAGACGTTTGAACCGAAGTCAGAACAGATTCAGAGGGTTTAGCCTCAAGGGCTTCCTTAAGTAGTAGTAGCTGTAGGCGAGTCTTCCTGTCTTTGCGAGCTCTGGGGAGAAGTGGGGTGAAACTCTGGCATCCATGAAGAGGTTTAAGAAAGTAATATTTAAAGTTCAGTCCAATGAAGTTAATGCACGCAAAAAAGTTCACACTTCTCAATCATTGTTTCACGATATCTGTGAACATCGCTGCACTGGTTTACATTTGCAAGGTTTTCTTTGCAATCATGGGGTTAGGAATTGACTATTTTTCAAATGAAAGGTTACATTCTACAGAATATGAATGTCCTATGGTCCACAAATAAAAAAACAGGTCAGATTCAATTCCTGGCCAAACATTTGACAGCCCTGCTCATGAATCTCAAGGAAACTGTAATTTTTTTTTTTTTTTAAAAACACCCATTAGATGTAACCAACTTCAAGCAACACAAAATGATACTAGTATGAGATAAGCAGTTCCAGTTTCAGTAACAAACAAAAAGACCTAGGAATTAAGAATACAGACAACATGAATCTTTTCATTGATGTTTTCTTATGATAGGACATAGATATCTAGGCACATGGCAAGGCTAATTTGTGTCAACAGTTCTGGACTAGCTCCAAGAGCTCGGATCTATGAAGCCAACTTCATGAATGACAGTCATATTATGGTACAAGTTCTGTACCAAAAGAGAAAAATGATAAGACAAACATTAAGTCACTTAAGTTTTATGAAGGATAACTTACAGGATATTGATCCAAATCAACAGGTTGTCTAAAAGGCTCAGAATCTTCACATTGGAAAATTAAATTCACCAGTTCCATACATTGTTTCTTCCAGGTATTTTCATCATAGTTAATTTTCACGTTGTTTCGTCTCTTCATAACCCGTCTCTTTAAAAAAAAAAAAATTTACTCCCAGAAAAAAACAAGTTATAAAAATAATTCCAATTAGAATTTTAAACACACATTGCAGAAACTGCTAGATAAACTTTGAGAGTATCTTAGTAAAGAAACAGAGAAAATTACTAGCAAAAAAAATGCAAAAAGCATTCTACTTTTTGCATTTTTTGTAATTCCTTCTCTTCAATTTTTTATAAGTGTTGAGTAAGAATTTTCTCCCCTTCAACCTAGCTTTTCTTATTGGCTGGCCTACAGGATCAAACATACTATTATATTTAAGTGTGACAGGGATGCAAAGGGGCTCTCTTTCTTGACCTCTGAAAATTCCTTTAGGAAAACTATACCTAGTGATCAAAAGGGTTAAACCCACATCTTGTGTTTTTTCTAGTTTTCTTGCAGAAAACACTGTCCTGTGTCACTTAAGTATAAACCTTGAAGAAAAGACCTAAGACTTTGTTTCCTGAATAATTCCAACGGTTTACACATTAGGTTCATATACTCAGACTTTAAGGTCAGAAGGGTCCATCATGATTAAGGCTAAGATTTTGTCACAGACATTTTTGGTAAAAGTCATGGACAGGTCACACACAATAAAGAAAAATTCACGGAAGCCGTGACCTGTCCATGACTTTTACTAAAAATATCTGTGACAAAATGGGGATCAGCGGGTCCTCACACTGCCTGCAGCAGGGCAGCTGCACAGCAGCTGGGGGCCGCCAGGGCTCCCCCACCGCCTTCTGGGGCCGCTGGGGCTCTGGGGGCCACCAGAGGCAGCGGGGATACCCTGCAGCTCCCCACTGCTGCAGGCTGAAATCATGGAGGTCACTGGAAGTCACGGATTCAGTGACTTCCATGACCTCCGTGATTAAATCATAGCTTTAATCATGATCATCTAATCTAACCTCCTGTACATTGCAGCCCACAGATCCTCACCCAACCACTCCTATAATAGGAGCTTAATGTTTGGCTGAGTTACTGAAGGTCTCAAATCTTGATTTAAAGACTTCAAGTTACTGAAAATCCACCATTTACCCTAGTTCAAACCAGCAAGCGACCTGTACCCCATGCTGCGACCTGTACCCCATGCTGCAAAGGAAGGTGAAAAACCCGCACAGTCTCTGCAAATCTGACCTAAGGGAAAATTCCTTCCTAACCCCAAATATGTTCATCGGTTACACCTTGAACATGTGAGACCCACCAGCCAGACACCTGGGAAAGAATTCTCTGTAGTAACTGAGAGCCCTCCTCAGCTTGTGTCCTATCTCCAGCTGTTGGAGATATCTGCTAGTAGCAGTTGCAGATGGGCCATACACCATTTAGGCAACCTCATCATACCACCTCCTCCATGAACTTATCAAGCTCAGTCTTCAAACAAGTTAGGTTTTTTACCCCCCAGTACTGCCTTGGAAGGCTATTGCAGAACTTCACTCCTCCAATGGTTAGAAACTCTCGCCTAATTTCGAGCCTAAACTTGTTGATGGCCAGTTCATAGCCATTTGCTCTTGTGCCAACATTGGCCCTTATGTTCAATAACTCCTCTTCCTTTCTGGAGTTTATCCCTCTGATGTATTTAGAGAGAGCAATCATTTCTCCTCTTAGCATTCATTTTGTTAGCCTCAACAAGCCAGGCTCCTTAAGTTTCCTGGTTCTCCTTTCCTCTTATCCTGGTAGCCCTTCTCTGCACCTATTCCAGTTTGAATTTATCCTTCTTAAACATGGGAACCCAGAATTGCATCCAGTATTTCAGATGAGGTCTCACCGTGCCTTGTACAATGATTTTAACACTTCTCTTTCCCTACTGGAAATATCTTGCCTAATGCAATCCTCGGATGCATCAGCCTTTTTTCAGGGCCACATCACATTGGTGGCTCAGTCATCCTATGATCGACCAATACACCCAGGTCTTTCTCCTCCTTCATTACTTCCAACTGATATGTCCGCAGCTTACAGCAAAAATTCTTACAGTCCCTAAATGCATGAGCTTGCACTCTGCATTATTAAATTTAATCCCATTTCTATTATTCCAGTTTTCAAGGTCATCCAAACCTTCTTTTATGATATTCTGGTCCTTTTTCATATTGGCAATACCTCCCAATTTTGTGTCATCTAAAAATGTTATTAGTACACTCCCACTTTTTATGCCACGGTCATTAATGAAAATGTTAACTAAGATTGATCCCAAGACTGATCCTTGAGGAATTCCATTAGTAACCTCCCTCTAGCATGCCAGTTCACCTTTCAGCATGACCAGTTACAGCATCCCCTTTAACCAGTGCCTTACTCATCATCTGATTCTCGTACTGATCCTTATCTTCTCCAATTTAACTAATAACTTCCCCTGTGGAACTATATCAACCACAGGTTTCAGAGTAGCAGCCGTGTTAGTCTGTATCCGCAAAAAGAACAGGAGTACTTGTACTCCTGTTCTTATACCAACCACTTTACTGAAATCCAGATAGAGTACATCTATTGCATTTCCTTTGTCTACAAAACTAGTTATCGTCACAAAGAAAGAAATCAGTTTGGTCTGGTAGGATCTACCTTTTGCAATACCATGTTGTATTTTAACCCAATTATCATTTACCACTGTGCCTTTAACTACTTTCTCTTTCAAAATTTGTTTTAAGATCTTGCATATAATTAGGGTGAAACTAAGGGGCCTGTAGTTTCCTGGATCACTTTATTCCTTTCTTAAATTAGGTACTATATTTGCAGTTCTTCAGTTATTGAAGTCTGTTTTTATTGAAGTCTGTTTTAATATCAGTTTTATCCATTGCATGTTCTGAATTATGGCTTAATTACAGGAATAAGTAAAAAACCTGAAGAAATCTTTAAAAAATTGTATCTGATGATTTGCAGTTATCACCAAGAAAGTTAGGATAGACATTAATTACAAAAGGTAGCATGCTCCACTAGGTTCTGCTACTTCACTACTGTTTCTGCTGATCACCTTTTTGGACAGGTAGGATTTCAATATTTATGGTAAGGACAGGCCAACTTACTTTTACTCTTCTGTAAGAAGTTCTTGGAAGACATTTATCATCATCCTACAAAACAGACCACACACCACTTCAAAAATAATTCACAAAATGAAATAGGTAACAACTATTCAGACAAAGAAGCTGCCATTATAATTTATACTACAATGAAAATAGTAAACATACTATCTATTGTGATGGACATTATAGAAAACTGTCCAGTTAAGCTAGGAGTTCCAACAGTTCCTGACAAGCCAAGAGGGAAACATCAAAGGGGATACTGCAGCCTTTAAGGGGGCCCCAAATTAGGAGTGACTTATTTAGGACCCTAAACACAAATCAATACTCAACATTCCTGGCCCCAGCATCATGTCCTGAACCTCAATGGATGGATGATACTGGAGTCCTTGCTGCAAAGGCACCCAGAGTTAGGAGTTTCAATGATACATCAGAGGGATGCTTGCACTCTTGGTACCTCTTACTGGATGCTTTTTATATAAAAAGGATACTTTATGACAAACCAGGGCTCACTACCACCAACGTTAAGCACTAAAGGGCATGAGAGACTCAGCAGATGAAAAAAAATCGTACAGCTTTTCAAGTTTTGCCTGTCTAGCTCAGAAGCAAAGACGACCAGGCATGAAAATCCCACCAAAAGTAACTTTGGAGAAACTACTTAAACCATGAAAAACAGTGTAAGAGTCACTTATGGACTGAATTTCAGAGTTTCCCTGGACTTAGTCCACAATAGAGAACATGTGCCTTTCAGCATTTTAAAAAAAGTTTTGCTTAGGAATAAAAAAATGCTTGAAATGTCTTTTTGGTAAAAGTAGTGTACTATTTTTTAATTTTAAGTATACTACCAATATACCAAAAGGTGGCACTCCAAATGTACACATTCACTGTATGCATTCCTATCAACAGCTCATCACATTAAAACAAATGCATTAGACTACTATTCTCAAATACTGAAGTGAATTTTTTAGTTTCATATTGCATAATCAAATGCAGTAATCAATCATTTTCTCTTTTTTAAATAAAGAAAGCAATTCAGAGCAAAAGTATGAATGTAATTATATCAAACAGTAATGGCTCTCATCACATCTATAATTCTGTGTTCTGAACTCTTGGCATTATAATTTTTTAAATATACAATCATTTTTTACCCCAATTTAAAAAAAAAAAAAAAATACCCGGAGTTACATATAATTCAATGAATAGGTCTTTTATATATATGTATATACTGCACATTTAATAATAGATATGGAGCAACTGAGCCACGCACATTTGGAGGAGGAGGAGAATTATACTGCACTTGACAACATAGTGATTTATCTGTAAAATGTACACTCCATGTGCAATATTATTTATTTACATGTAAATATCCATAACTCAACAATTATTGAAATACAGTTATGAAATATGGTATATCTACCTATACCAGATCCAAACATCCTCAAACTTTGGGGAAGTTCAAATAATGGACTGGGCCATTATATATATAGAAACTATGTATAAAATATATGGATATGTAGCAGGTATATTTCTATAACCAGACATTTGTAATTGTGGCATATTATAAAAGTATAGGTTTTTAAAAGTATTTAAAATTAGTTTTGCTGCTGCTAGTAACTAGATTGACAGTATTTCTTTATCACTGCTAATAAACTCCTACTTTGAATATTTGTTTAAACTAAAAACAGCAGCAGAAGCAACAACAACAAGAGTTTATTACCAGATCAGCAGCATCAAGAGAGTCCTGCTCATCTTCTGTTGTATTACTAAGCTCAAATATGTTTGTACAAACCGGATCACTGTAAAGTAGAATTAAAAGCTTTACTACGTGAATAATGGAAAAACATGCTTACCACTTTCTAGACTTTAAAACACATATGAACGCTGGAAAATAGTAATTTTCCAAGAGAATTTAAGGCTTGAAAAGGCACGCTTAAAGAAGGTATTTTAAGCTCAGTAAACAGGGTATTGGCAACATAATTTAATTAAAAACTCCTTTTACCAATTTCAAATGATTTCTGCAAAATCTGCCAGCTAATTCATATATTATAATATGCATCCATCTCAGCTTCCTAACTTTAGATTTATAACTGAATTTAGAATGGCCGGCTAGAAGTTTTTCCACTGAAAAGCAGGTGGCAGTGGTTGAGACGGGAAGGGATATAAAATGTTCTGAATTCTCTATTTAGGAAAGAATTTAGTACATGTTTAACAAATTTCTCTCAGGTCAACTAAAGCATTTTAAGATTAGGGCCTTGTCATCAGTAGGACAAACGGTAACTTGCTTTGCTTGGAACATCTCCATGCTAGATGGTTTACAAGAACTAGTTTGTTGATCAGCCTTTGGATAAGGTCTTTAATTCTGGTCTAGATAAAACAGGAGAGCCTACAGGTTTTCTATAGAGTGAAAAATAATATAAACTCTGAAATTCACCAGATCAGGCAGACTGATTAAAAGAGTAGAGAATACTTGTGTGTGTGACAGACAGTAAAACTGACTTACCTCTAAATGGCTAATGAAACTATATTCAGGGTAGATGGTGTGTGGTGTGCAGGGATGAGCAGAAACCTTTGCTTGCAGCTAAAAGTTTTCTGATGGACAAGTTCTATAGAAAGACCTTTCTCAAATCTTGAATATTAATAAATGCTGATTAAATCAGAGTGCTAAAAATGTCTTTGCTAGACATATCAAGATGCTTCAAAGTTAGTTTGATAAAGAGTTTAGGAAATATTTAGAACTTGAAAGTTTCTAAAGGCTTCAGCTATTATTCATTGCAAAAAAATAAAGAGTCAGCCAAAATTGAGAGAAATTCAAGTGCTATCTCCAACCCAGGTCAATGAAATGTGTATACAATTATATTCAGACTGAAATATGACTTACTCAATGAACTTTAACAGCTGTTTAGTGATCTTCTTAGCAGATCGAGCAATAGCACTCCGAGGTTCATTGAAGGTGCTGGCATTACTTTCAATACATCTGACTTCCCACACCAATGCAGAGATCCTCCTTTAAGATTATAAAGGAAATTAACATTCTTTAATACTAAAAAAAAAAAAAGGAGTGTAGAAAAGAAAAATAACTCTGTAAATATCTGTCCCTATTAGGTCTATTATACTAAACTGGCAATCCTTTAGTATAGAACCCCAGCTTAATCTCACTTAAAACAATTCATATGGAAAACAGCATAAAATATTCAGGGTTAGCCAGAGAAGTGGCAGCTGTAGGGGGGAGGGGGAGGGAGACCTCAATATTGATGCAAAAATGATATTAATAAAATATTTTAAGTAGTTACTGTGACGAAGTGGGGGGTTTTCTTGTTTTCTGTGGAGTTTCAAGGGTTTGCATGAGGAGGGGGTGGGACTCAGTTTCCCTGGGTGTTACTGGTTTAACGAGGTGAGGGGAGAGGAAGTGTGTTTTGCAGAGGACCGGAGAGAGGATGTGGGGACCCAGCCGGTGGCCGGGAAGATGGATACCCCAGCGACCGGTGACCTGGTGACCCAGAGGCCCAGCTGAGGAGACGCAGCCGGTTCTGGCCAGTGGGAGGACAATGGGCTGCAGAGTGAGGACCCAGTGACCTAACCAGCCGGTTCCAGCCAGAGGACAGAAGCAGGAGAGGAGGCCCCGGTTTACGACCCTGTTTACCTGGAGAGAAGACAATGGACAGAGGCGGGGCCTGGGGCCGGGGATCTCGGATGCCCAGCGGCGAGCAGGGGGGCTCTGGGCTGGAGAGGGGAAGCAGGCAGAGCCCACCTGGATGCAGAGAGACTGGAATGTGCTGGGCTGAGGGAGGCCAGGCCTGAGGGTCAGAGAGTTTCCTGTGCTGTGTTCAACTCTCAATAAACCCTCCTGTTTCATGCTGGCTGAGAGTCACTCCGGTCTAGAGAACAGGGTTGCATCAACCCCTTCGGGGGTGGAGGCCCCGGGGGTCCAGAGCGAGTGGACTCCCTGGGTACGTCTACACTACGAGATTAATTCGAATTTAGATAATTCGAATTTGGGAAACAGATTGTATAAATTCGATTGTGCGTGGCCACACTAAGCACATTAATTCGGTTTTTAACCACATTAATTCGGTGGTGTGCGGCCACACTACCCCATTAATTTTAACCACATTAATTCGGTGGTGTGCGGCCACACTACCCCTAATTCGAATTTACAAAATCGATTTTGGTGCTACTCCGCTCGTCGGGGTGGAGTACAGAAATCGATTTTAAGCGCCCTTTAATTCGAAGTAACTGGCTCCGTTGTGTGGACGGGTTAAAGATTAATTCGGATTAACGCAGCTAAATCCGAATTAAAGTCGTAGCGTAGACCAGGCCCCTGAGGGGGCCCACGGCAGAGACAGACGTGCTAAGGCTCAGAGAGGTGCGGCTCCAGGAGGTGGAGGGGCCGGACCCCGAGAGAGAGTGGACCCCCGAGAAGGGCTGTCTCACTAAAAGGGGCACCCCCCCACGGACTGCACGGGGCCAAGAGTGGGCACGATCTGTGAGTCCGTGACAGTTACCAACTTGTTTACACCTCTACTGAATATTAAGGTATAGTTGCAAGAATGTTACAGCCAGGATGATTGAAAACATAATATACATGTTTAGCTAATTATGTTACAAAATGTTGAAGCTAATCAAAGAAATTCCAGAGGGTTTCTGCTTCCATCTCCCAAGGATAGGCAAACATCAAGTAAACAAACCATGTAAATATTTTTAGGAAGAAACCCGATTATGAACAGAAGACTGTATGGTTGGGTTATCAGAGAAATAAATCCAGAGGTAAAGTTGGCCTAATTTCATCTCTTCCCTCCCCACCCCACCCCCCAAAAAAACCCCAGTTTTCAAAGAAAAATCTGATTTTAAACCCACACAACAAATTCCAGAAATATCCTTATTGAAATGGATTTATTTTGTCTTCGTTCTTCAGACTTGGACAACATTTATGGGGGGAAAACGTTTTACACAAGACACTGCTTACTTCCAACTCATGTTTCCACTTAAAGTTGAAAACCTTTGTTGTATCTCAAATGCTTAAGATGGTAAAAGCTTCTTTTAATGTATTTTTCCAACTATTTTGTATCAAAATGCATGCCTTCATATAATAACTGCCTGATATCATTGCAGTATGAATAGTGAGATGTTTTATATACAAATATAGCAAGGACATTTGATATTAGACTAATTACTAATGCAAGAAGCTATTTAAGCATAGAATATTTAGATTAATGAGGAATTAATTGATTACTGACAGTGGACAAGCAAACCCTCACCCAACGCAAGAGACAAGAAAATCATTGTTAGAAAAATTGCCATGTAAAGTCAACAACTTAGGCTAAAGACTTTCTAAGAGTTATATAACTTTAAAAAACTGTTCTGAGAATGAAAAACTCTTATATTAAGAACAAGATTGTTTACACTATTTGACAACAGAATTTCATTTCCTGTCAAATAAAAGGAAAAAAAATCTCAGAAAATGGACTGAATAAAAAGAAAGTTAAAACTAATTAAGAATTTTCTGGATCTTTCCTGCCACAAGAAGAACAAAGGCAATAAAGAAATGTTGCATATTCATTAAGCAGACTGCATATTCAGGAGCTCAAACTACCACCTAAACCAAAGCCGAAGGCATGAAGCCAATGAAAAGAGAGAGAGCAACCAACCTGAATCTAAGCAAGCATGAATGAGGTGTTTTCTTATAATTTCACAAAAGGAAGAAAAAGGGTATCAGATTCTAAAGTGAGCACTCTCACTCCCTGAGATGCTGCTTAAACAGCAAACACTCTATAACTCATCCTGGCCACCTCTACAAGAAAGAAGAAAAAGAGAGAAGACTCAAGAAGAAACCAATCCCAGGAAACCATCCCAAGACTTCAACATGGATTGGTGAGAGGAAGTTAAAGCCACTACCAAGGGATTAGATTTAAAACTCCTGTAATGATTTGCTGGAATACTGAAATGCTGTTGTAATTTGAAATACTAATAGTTTCTCCTGTTAATCAAGTGATTAGACTATGTATTCATGAGAAGAGACAGGGGCTAAACATTGGTAAACAGAGAAAAGGGGGATTCTATTAGATTTTAGATTCTTAATATTGCTTAACTGGCCTGTCAGAAGACAGCTCTTTAAATGGCTTCTTCTAAGTAACTGATTTAAATGTTTTCTTGGGCTTCATAAGCTGTTTTTAAGATTGCTTACTTTATCAACTATAAATTGGCTGGTTATTTATTAATAACCAACAGGTCCACATTCCCTGAAACAAAATTATTTTGCCCATCTATAAACATTCTTTGTTATCTAAGGATATACTAAAGAATGGATTCACAATAATTTTGGGAAACAATATACTTTGGTCTTAACTTACCAAGAGGAAAGCACACTTCTCAGGTGTTCAATATCGGGGCATAATCTCTGTCAAAAGCTCTCCATAGAGAGACATACAGAAGAGATTGTAATGGAAATAACCACTATCATTTGTGTTCAGTCATTTGTGCTGTTTTCTTTTCCTTTCTTTAATAATGAAATAGCCCTGGTTAATAACTGATTACTTTGCTTGGGCTTAAATGTTTGCTTGCTATCCCCTAAACAATGTAGAAGAATCCCTGTGAGTCAATAGTGGAAGCCACACTAATGAGTTGGCAGTAAGAGAAACAGCAGGAGCTGGTCTCCCATTTCTTGTTTCTCTAAACTAAATGTTTTTAGTAATTCTGAAAACAAAATTACTTGGCGTCCAACAATTTATAAGTACCCCTTTCTACATCACACATTAATCTTTTTTTTTCTCCCACCCCTTCAATATTGAGATTCGTGTTATTGCTAGTTAAGCATTTGGGATTTAGCATATTCCTGGCCTAAGTGCATATTTTTCTGAGCACTCTCCTGACATACTGAAATACTTTCATATTTCCCACAACTATCAGACTACACAATCATACATTGAGTGGAACACTTTCATGAGTCAGTTAAGTTGAAAAAAAAAATACAAATAAAGATAAAACTACATTAAAATTAATTTGTATATGAAGTTTGTGTCCGCCAGGCTCCTACGAGTTAGTCCTCAAAACCAACTACTTCTGGGGTAATATCCACAATGGCAGGCTTTTTTCCAGCTATCCAAAATATTGATGGCTCAGAATAAGCATTCTGGCACCCCCAGGTTCTGAAATCTCACTTGCATAGACACTACTGCATTTGGCCTGAGTTCCTTTGGAGGTTCATAAAGCTTTCAAGCCCATATATTATTTTAAAACTTAATGAGACCCATCTGAAGAGGATAAAAACCCTATTACTTAATTGGTACTGTATATCATATCAAATTCTATTTTGAGCCACACAGACCTGATGCCTCTTTTGATATCAGAGTACTGAGAATGCAGCATACAGAAAACTTATGTATTTTGTTATCTTAGTCACCTCTAAAGAAAGAAGGAGCGCTATTCCAAAAGAGACCCCACACACACACAAAAAAAAACCAGCAGAAAAGAAAACGAATGAAAAATATTGTCAAAATATGACCTCTTTCCACATTGTCCTAAGACATAACTATCTCCAACTGGGTAATTCCCCACCTGCCTGTTAAGTTCAATTTTTGACTTTCCCCAATCTTTCATATTTCTATCCTCATCATCATCATGGCCTGAGAGGAAGGATTATTGAGTAAAGGTCCTGTGCAAGTTTGAAGAAACTGAGGACCCAAGTTATAAGCAAATGGAGGCGATGTGCTGCATGGCCATGTACAGGGCTTAATTTTAACACTTACTATTCCAAATCCTTATAGCTATTTATGAACCAAATTATAATAATTGGCAAATATATATTTACCACTTTATCCATAAATCTCAAAGCACTTCACAAAAGGTAAGTTTCATCCCCATTTTACAGATGAGGAAACTAAAATGCAGAGATAATAGGGGCCTGATTTGCAGAAGTGTTGGGCACGTACAACTCCCATTAAAGTCAATGGGTACTGCAGGCATTCAGCATCTCTGAAAACCAGGCCCCATGTATCATAACTAAAGCACTCTTAACATTGTCAAACACACCTACGCAACTTAGGTACCTAAGCCCCATTTTCAGAAGGGTTCAGAAGGATTTCAGAAGACATGAGACTCAGGCTCCTAAGTCACTTAAATGCCCAAGTCCCATTTTCAGAAATTTACCACAAATCTGTGACAAGCGTGGCACTTCAGAAATTCAGTTTATGTTACCTGACTGCTAGTCTTAAAAAACAGACATGCAGTTTTCATGTTCATTTATTCCAAAATAGCTCAACTAATTTTGTTTATAAATAATTTCAACCAATGTTTATAACTGTGATATCACTAGAAGAGAAAACAAGGAAATAGTATCTTTTTTAATATTACAGTACTAATCACTTTTCAGATAATTATAAAATATTAGTATCTTTGCATTTATACAGTGCTATTCATTCTCACAGTGTTTACAAACAGAACATTTTCCCTTTTTGGTGCATTTTCCAAAAAATGTTTAGATCTTTGTAGGTCACTTAACTTGATGGAAACTTGGTGGAAACATAGTGAAGATAATGAAGTTTTCCTCCTTTCTACTGCTAAGGTAGACTAACCTGTAAAACCGGTTGATTAGTCTCATCCGAATAGTGCAAAGATCCGTTGGATACGCTATCACTGTACAGTACTTTGGATATGTACTCAGATCAACTGGACCAGCAAAAGCTGCTGAAATGTCTGTCAAAAATAGTAATAATTCAGTTAGTTGAGCTAACAAATTCAAAGCCTGTATACATACGGATTTTCATACAAGCATTCATACTGTTATACTATAACCACTGTTAACAAAAATAGGTTATGTATAAACCTATGAACCGGAATACAGATTTGTGATAAAGGCCGTATACCAGGTTGCACACGTAACGATAGTACCTTAAAATCTTTAAAAAAGGATCAGCACTATGTCTCAGATACCGAATTATAAAAGTTTACTGCTATGAGAGCAAAGAACTGACTAATTTTCTGTGTTCTCACCAAGATTCAGAAGCTGATCAATGCCACTGATAATCCGTTCACATACTTCATCTCGAGATCTTTTCCCCCATTCTCCCTCTTGGGGTTTGTATAGTAGCTTCTCCATTTCTTCATAAGTTACAGAAACACTAGCTCCTAATTCCTCAGGTTGATCAACTATAGTTTTATAGTAAATGGGGAAGATGAGAAAAGAAAGAACAAACAAAAGAATAAATGAGAATTTAATAAACTATATGCTTGCCAGGTTTGACGCTATGTAAATTCTTGCCTAATCTCATAAAATGGGGGGTTTGATGTTTAGGAACACAAAATGTTTTTAACCTTTCTTTGTTGCAGATGAGTTTTCAGAATACTCTGCCATCTAATGTAGGAATGGCCAATTTTGTTTTTAATGCACAAAATTGTATATAAGTAGCTGTTAACATTGCTTGCATTTACAGACTGTCTGTTTAAATTTAGGCCTGATGTCCACTAGCAAAAGATGCACGTATTTTTGATTACACTACACCGTACACCATTGATAGTCCTAGTGCAGCTGTAGCATTTTTCTTCGCACAGTAAGGCTAATTGAGCGTATAAAGAACTCACAATATGCAGGGTAATACCACGTGTTCCATGGGATAATAGAAAAAGGATTAGTCAGACACATGGCTGCTGAGCACATCCACAACTACACTATATAGGAATAAACAAAATTTCAGTGAGCTTGGAAAGGAAGCCAATTCCTAACTCAGGGGATTGGGAAGAAAATTCCCTTTGGGGTGGCTATTGCATGACTGCCCTCTTCAAGATTTCATGAACTTTCCCTCCGAAGCATCTAATACTTAAAAATGACAGTGGCTGGATTAGATGGACCACTGGTCTGATGACCATTAAAACTGATTTTGATTCTAGTAGTAACCTTAGATATACCTTAGTTATTTATTATAAGATTTTGCTGACTGCACAGAGTACATATTTCATTATATTTGATTATCAACCTGAGTTGTGTGGCAGGAATCTTGGCACAAGCCAAGAAGTTTAGAATTTTTAAAATGTCAACCTTAATTAGTTCAACACACCTACAAGAAAGCAGGAAGAAAACAGGGCTCTGATGCAGAGCAATTAGCCACTGGAACAATTTACCACGGGTTATGGTGGATTTTCCATCACTGATCATTTTTAAATCAAAATTGGATGTTTTTCTAAAGGATATGCTCTAGGAACTATTTTGGGGAAGTTCAATGGCCTATGTTATGGAGGAGGTCAGACTAGATTACCACAATGGTCCCTTCTGGCCATGGAATCTATGAATTACAACAAAAGTTACAAAGGCTCCTTTGCAGAAAATTGACAACAGCCACAGGATTCTATGCTTCATGACTGGTTCCACTTGTCTCCCTATTTGTTTTTAAAATAGAATATACATTTTGATCTATAGGAGTACTTAAAAGTTTTGTGATCTACATACTTCAGCCATTTCCCTTCCCCACAAGTGATTTTGAGGAATGGGGGGGAGGGGGGAGAATTTATGGAAAAAGACATGGAATAGTCCAAAACTAGCCTAATATCCAGATTCGGAGATTTTAAAGTGAAAACAAATTTCCTCCTTCCACTTTCATCCTCTCAAAACCAGTTTTAATGGAAACTATCACATCTTTAACTGTAATAGAATATCTATGCCATTATATCAATTCCACCCTTAAGATCATATGAAAAATGACAGTGTCCTACAATAATAAAATAAGACTATACTCAGGTACTATGGTAACAGGGACCATATAAGAAAATATCAAGACTAGTATTACCACTTGCATGAAACAAATGATTTTGGAGATAGACAAGAGGATGAGAGGCTTTTAATTCATTTTCACATACCATTATCAGGAATTGGCTCCATGTCCCATGGGCTAAGCTTTTCAATTTCACCATTGTCCCATCTGTTTAAACAACAAGCAAATTAACAAAAAAGTTAAACTATGTTCATGTATAAGTGTTTCCCTGCAAACAAATGTAAGGAATTTTTCCTTTGATTTTAAACATAACTAAATTTGCAATATAAATATATAGGAAGGAGGGAGCAAACCAAGCCCTCTTAGAGGCAAATCTACTGCAAACTTAGTTTGGTTTAAAAGCTTTAAATTACAACAGTGCTCCTACTCCAGGTAATGCTTAACTGATCTCCTACTATATCAATGAGAAGACAAAGAAAATGTCTCTCTAGGTTACAAACCAAGAACATTTCAAACAAAATATGTCAAAAGCACACACCAGTCTGAAGCTTATGTCAGAAATTTTCACAAGGTATTTAAAGTAAACAGAAGCGAGCACCCAGGAAATACTGGAAGGTTTGAAGGAAAATTTGCAACAGCTTTGCTGAATAGTTAAAATTCTGAATCAGCAAAGCCAACAGCAATCAGTTTACCTACTTTTAAAACATTTACATAGCACCATAAATTCACACAGCACTTTACAAACAGATCATATACGCGCTGCTACAAAGAGTTTACACTCTAAATAAGACACAACAAACAAGATCAAGGTACTAGTACACAAAAAGGACAGTGCAAATATTCCTGTCAATGGAGGAGGATTGTTTTAAGAAATGGAAGTACAGAGGGATTTGGAGGAAGGCAGACCAAGAAATGGGGTGTTTGGTGGAGCACAAAGACTGTTGCGGTCATGGGGAGCAGCATGCTAATAGCACAAAGTAAAAGGAAAAGAAGAAATAAAGTGATAGGATTGGAGGCAAACAGGGAGAAGACGGAAGCAATAGTTAGTCTGGTTCACATCGAATAGTATATTCACTTAATTGAATATGAGAGTAATTTAAATTCCTGCAGACTGTATAGTTTTTTTTATGCCTTGATTAGCAATGTAATAGCTAACAATGTTGATTTTAAATTACCATAGTTAGGTGTTGTAACCAACACCCATTTAGCTGAACACGGCAATCTACAATTCTCAGAATTATTTTAAGCTGTCTGCAGACTTAAGCAGACATCACTGTTCAGTTTGCACTCCGTTTGTTTGAAGGTTTACTTTGCAACCATAGAAGCTATAGACTTCTTAGGGCTTGCTTACTCAGTTTTTGTACCAATTTAATTATATTGGTTTAGAAACCCCTAGTATGGATGCAATTATACCAATACTTAAGTACATTTATCAGTATAACTTATTTCAATATAAGCTCTTTATATATTAGGGTTATATTGGTTTAAAAACCAATGCCAGTAAAACAATACACTTAAATTGGTACGAAAACTGTTTAGACCAGCCTTTGGGAAAAGCACTGTCTACTTATAGAACTTTCAACTGTTTTACATCTATGTGAATAATATGGAACTAACTTGTGATATTTATGAATACTATATGCTGGTTTGGTTATTGAGATGCTGTTTACTTTATGAATTTTTTTTTTTTTTAAACTCAGAATTGTCTGGATTCAGGCATGAATGGGAAGAATGGCTCAACACAACTACCTATCAATGAACACTTATAATTTAAGGGACAATGCCAGAGCTACTGCCTTTGGTGACTGACTGTCCAGTCTACAAAATTGGATTTTACCAAGAATGACTGAGGCCCCGCAAACACAAGGGAACAAAGCTCATCAAGTGTTAAAAACATCTGGGGTGGGGGAATATCAGACAGACGCAGGAGCCAGTTGGGGCTGTCTGGAGAAGCCATGCCTGTCTAGGTCTGCATCATGGAATAGGAGGACTTCAGGTAAGATAGACATGCACGTAGATTGTTTTAATATCCTTTTTTCTCTAAAACTTTGCTCTGACTGCTAAAGAAACGAGACTTTTATTTTAATAAGGTTGTTTGGTCACAAGCTCCTGAAGGGAAGAATATCATATTCTCAAACCCAGGAACACCTGTTAATGACCTTTGATACAAAGGGTACTGTAACTAGCTCCTGGTCTAAGAATGGGGAAATTGCAAAATTCCACCCCAAACACAGGTAAAGACACAAAGCTTAACACCTGAGGGGGGCATACTCAGAGATCACAAATGGACAGAGGTGCAGCTCACCCTATAACTAACTAAATCAGTTAAAAAAAATTAAATGGATACAAAGTTAAGTTGGTATAAACCAGATGTAAACAGATTTTAAAAAGCGTCCACATGTAGGAGTTTGCATCAGTTTAAAACTGTCTTTAAAATCTATTTAATTAAACTGAAGCAACTTTCTTAGCTTCCCAGATGCCGAACACAAGACCCCATATCCAAAAAACCCCACTATTAACTTGCCAAGCTACCATGAGCTGGTCCAATTCATCCCATGGTGGTCTACAGAGGACAAGTATAGTCACACAGCAATTTCAGCCACTTTGATATTGCTGCATTTCTCCTCTGCTATTAGCCTTTTGTAAATAAGTGGTATTTCAAATGAAGAACTGGGGGTCGGGGAAAGCAGGGTTTCAAAGGCCCATAAAGAAATATAGGTAATTGCAGATCTATGGAGCCGATGGATATCATGGACCCTGCATTCTGTGGTCTGGCATCTTTAATGGATTGAAGGGTACACTAACCACATGTCAAATTATGGTGCTGCTGTGAGGCCCCACTAATTATTTGTGCATTATACATCTGTTGATACTACTGGCTACTAATCTGGTGTTTAGTCAAAGCAAAAAAGTAGCTTGTGGGCAGAGCTGGGGACAGAACACCATTTCTCTGAACATTTTGACCCATTATAACAGTGATTTAGCTGCATATACCTTACTGATAGCAGAAAGAAAAGGAAGTTTAGAGGAGCTGAAACAGCATGCAAAGATGATTAAATAAAAAGAAAGAACTGCTAACAGAGCAGGAAATTTCCTTTATGGATAGAAGCACAGGATCCTTTTGAGTATAAGAAGTGACAGAAGATTTTTGTATGCAGCACATACATAACTGCATAGCTGATTAACATGCATGCAGCTGGGTAAAGCAGAGCTGCTCAAACCTTACCCTGTTGTAAGCTAGCACATACATTACAGATTTAACATGGTTGTAGTATGGAGGGGGAAGACAGAAATGAAGGCTGACAGCTGTAGAGTCTTCTCACATATGTTGCAAATGTCACTGAATGAGAGACCAAAAAGCAGCTCCATACACTAGTCCTTTCCAAGAACAAAAACTACTGCAATGATAAAGGAGGCTGACTAGCACATGACAAACATATTTTGGATTTTAAACTACATGGGAATCAATATTAAAATTAAATACTTTGAGATGTACTTTGCTTCCAAAAATATTTTTATTTCCATATCTGCCACTCAGTGGGTTTGCACACTACATACCATTTTACATATTAAAATTAAGTTTAAGAATATATATGAGCATATCTTAGTCAATTTTGTTCCAGAGTCAATATTTGAATATTAATACATATAAAGCTGGCAAGATCTGTACAGAACGAATACAGAAACTAAACATTTCCATGCCCCAGTACAAACCCACAAATATTTAAATCCAAAATAATTAATTTCCATTGTGTTAGTTTGGACTACTGAAGCTGTGTGGGTTTTTGTTGTTGTTGTTTTTTAAAAGACATCTTCCTTGGCTGTTCCATGGAGAAGATTCAGTAACCCATAATTTGTAAGTTATTACAGAAAATAGGAGGTTCCTCTCTTTCACAAATATAGAATACAATTTGTGTTTAGCAAGTTACTATTCATGAAAAAGTTACTGCATTTTGGCAATACATTCACATAGTGCTTAAGAGACGGTTTGCTAACGGAGCTTTAGGTTTTCAACCAACAACATTTTGTGCATTCTTACACCTACAGCCCACCAATATAAGCCATGATTTATACTGTGTAAATAAACATTTTAAAAGCCTCTGTACTTACTTAACACTGTAACACTGAAAGTGACTATCTGGATACTGTGGCTGATATGGCTCTTGACCCAACACTGTTCCAAACCACCATGCATCGTCAATAATAGATCGGAATCTATCAACTGTAAGAGAAAGAACCATTTCCCCACTCAGATACATATTCTGGTAACCAAAAGATTTTAATTACACTGGTCTACAATTTTTGAGAAGTCGTCTGCTTCAGAGATAAAATGTGCTATTATTATGTATTTTGATGTGCTGAATTCAAATATGACAATTAAAACAACTGATTGGCTACTGTTTCTAAGATGTTTAAGTTTTTACATTTTATGTCTATGTATATTGTGTAGATAGTAGAGTTTTAATCATAAATTGTAAACCTAGGTCTTTTCATGTGTTTATGGTTGCTTTACATGATATTTCACCTGTCCTGTTTATGTAACACTTTAAAAATCAGCCAAAGGGTTATATAAATAAAATTTATTATGAAACAAAAGGCAAAAAACTATTATGTACATAGTTTAGTCCTATTCAGTGTCTATTCGGTGCTTCTTGGCTTGTCTCTTGTATACATTAAATGGAGCATCTCTTGTCACTGTCCAGCAATAGTCTGCAAGCATTGATGGGCTCCATTTGCCCTCATAGCGTTTTCTCCATTGTTGCAATGTCCTGGTGAAATCGCTCGCCGTGCTCGTCGCTCACTGCTCCGCAGTTCGGTGGAAAAAAATCTAGATGAGAGTGCAAAAAATGTATCTTTAGTGACATGTTGCAACCAAGGCTTTTGTATGCCTTGAGGAGGTTTTCCACCAACAACCTGTAGTTGTCTGCCTTGTTGTTTCCGAGAAAATTTATTGCCACTAACTGGAAAGCTTTCCATGCCGTCTTTTCCTTGCCACGCAGTGCATGGTCAAATGTATCATCTCGAAGAAGTTCATGAATCTGAGGACCAACAAAGACACCTTCCTTTATCTTAGCTTCACTTAACCTTGGAAATTTTCCACGGAGGTACTTGAAAGCTGCTTGTGTTTTGTCAATGGCCTTGACAAAGTTCTTCATCAGACCCAGCTTGATGTGTAAGGGTGGTAACAAAATCTTCCTTGATTCAACAAGTGGTGGATGCTGAACACTTTTCCTCCCAGGCTCCAATGACTGTCGGAGTGGCCAATCTTTCTTGTTGTAGTGGGAATCTCTTGCACGACTATCCCATTCGCAGAGAAAACAGCAGTACTTTGTGTATCCAGTCTACAGACCAAGCAAGAGAGCAACAACCTTCAAATCGCCACAAAGCTGCCACTGATGTTGGTCATAGTTTATGCACCTCAAAAGTTGTTTCATGTTGTCATAGGTTTCCTTCATATGGACTGCATGACCAACTGGAATTGATGCCAAAACATTGCCATTATGCAGTAAAACAGCTTTAAGACTCGTCTTCGATGAATCAATGAACAGTCTCCACTCATCTGGATCGTGAACGATGTTGAGGGCTGCCATCACACCATCGATGTTGTTGCAGGCTACAAGATCACCTTCCATGAAGAAGAATGGGACAAGATCCTTTTGACGGTCACGGAACATGGAAACCCTAACATCACCTGCCAGGAGATTCCACTGCTGTAGTCTGGAGCCCAACAGCTCTGCCTTACTCTTGGGTACTTCCAAATCCCTGACAAGGTCATTGAGTTCACCTTGTGTTCTGAGGTGTGGTTCAGAGGAGGAGGATGGGAGAAAATGTGGGTCCTATGACATTGATGGTTCAGGACCAGAAGTTTCATCCTCTTCCTCGTCTGACTCAAGTGAGAATGATTCTGGTGCATCAGGAACCGGCAGTCCTTCTCCGTGGGGTACTGGGCGTATAGCTGATGGAATGTTTGGATAATACATAGTCCCCTTTTTCTTCTTTGACACACCTTTCCCAACTGGGGGCACCATGCAGAAGTAACAATTGCTGGTATGATCTGTTGGCTCTCTCCAAATCATTGGCACTGCAAAAGGCATAGATTTCCTTTTCCTGTTCAACCACTGGCGAAGATTTGTTGCACAAGTGTTGCAGCATATGTGTGGGGCCCACCTCTTGTCCTGATCTCCAATTTTGCAGCCAAAATAAAGGTGATAGGCTTTCTTAACCATAGTGGTTATACTGCGCTTTTGTGATGCAAAAGTCACTTCACCACAAACATAGCAGAAGTTATCTGCACTGTTCACACAAGTACGAGGCATCTCTGCTCACTTTGGCTAAACAGAAATGTGTCCCTTTGCAAAATCAAACACTGACAAATAAGAGAGCACGACACTGTATGATTTCTAGAGCTGATATAGGGCAATTTGTTCAGCAGAGTGATGTAAGCTTCGTTATGATTGCATCATCCATGACTTCTAGGAATAACATGATGCAATTCATATCATGTATGACGCAATACCAGCTTCAGATTGCATCATTCATTGTTTTGCCTAAAAAGCAAGTACTGTCCAAACCCAGTCAGATTTATTCATAGATCCAGTCAAAGATGTATTTTAGTCATATCTGGTTTAAATTAAGATCTCTTCCCTTTATAACTTACTTATCCTCCGCCATTCCCAAGTCAAGGGTCGTATATACTGACCCAATAGCATATCTTGAAAACTAGAGCCAATCAACAATTTTAAGAATCATTTTCGTTCTCAGTGACCCAGAATTAGTAAAGTTCGACTACATTTATTTCAGAAGCATTTTGGCTGTAGAGCAGTGTTATGTTTTGTGAGGATGGAATTACCGGGGAGGAAACTAATGAATAGACTCAGACTCTAAGGTCAGAAGGGAGCATCATGATCATCTAGTCTGACCTCCAATAGTATATTTTGGTTTAAAAGTATAAATATCTACTTTAAAAAACAGACACTAGATAAAAGAAAAATAACCTACTACACAAAGTAATGTACATTATCATTCACAGTAAGCTCTAAAATCCAAACATATACTAGCATGCAAATAACAAGATGTTAATATATGTTTCAGTGTAGAAAGCATGCACCACTAAAGGTGCTGAGTATTCTACAATATATAAAAACTTGTATGACTTCAACCACAATGGAGGCAAATGCCTGAAAAAACAGATAAGCCTTAACACTATGAATTGAAGACCAGACCCTGGTTCTAGCATACCAAAGAGTTTAGGAGGCAACGAACTCCATTTCATAGTCCAGGTCTCTCCAATGTCTAACTCCAGCATTCAGATGTTCAAATCTCTAGAAACTGTTTGCAAAAGGGTCTCAGCTGACCTCAAGTGCAACAGTGGAGCATTTGATGGTGGAGAGTTGTTGGAAGTCTCTGATAGTCAGGACACAAGCCACACAGAGCCTTTTAAATCAATGTCAACACAAATGAATTGTACATAACATTCTCAGAAGCTAGCCACAATGGAAAATGTTTGTATTCTAAAACTATATTGCCAGACACTTGGAAGGTGAAGACTTACAAGCTTGCCAATTCCTTTGTCGTGCTTCATCATAAAACTGACGCAATACAAGAAAGTCAATGACATCTGGCATATCATGGTATCTAGATAAAAAATAAAATTAGCTTTCATTTGTGTGTCATATTATATTATGCTATGTTGTGTAGAGGAAAAAACTAAGAAATAGGTCTTTAAAAAAAAATTTATCTAGCATACGCTTTCAGCAGAGAAACACATACTTGAGAGAAAATGATTTGTCTGAAAGTTTTCCAGTGGCATGGTCTATAAAGGCAAGCTTCAGGCAACACAGTGTAGGAGGACCAACTTCATATCGTATCCCAACAATTTTTACCAATTCTTGATCCTATAACAAACAAAAATGAAAGCAACAAATTCCATTAAGTTTCAGCCCTATGCTAGAGGCACAATCTCTAGTTTAGTTTTATTACATAAAATATCTGAATAGTTTTAGCCCTCAAAAAGCCAATATTGTTAAATACTGTATATGAGGTTTTATTGGGAGACAACCAAATCCTTACATAGAGTCTGTACCCTTTTTAAAGATCAAGATTTATGTTTTTATTTCAGTGAAGTCCAGGCCTCCCATGGGCAATTTTGAAGGTTTCTTTGATGACTGAAGAAAGCTTTCTTCCTCCTTTATGTTAGTAGGAAAACATTAATGGGAAGTTACCTAGCTAAGTCCTCACTAGTTATATTTATACAAAGAATTTAAAATGCTAATGTAAACTGTTAAACACACATTATCAGTATTGAACATGTAACAACTTCAATATATTCTTACCCTAAGGACCATTTTTCTCCATGGCTCCTTGTGGGGGTTCAGTTCATAAATATTATTTTTTCTGACTGCTTCAATATAAGCTTCATGACCTTGTCGAAAATATATTACCTGTAAAAATAAAAATCCACCAAATAATTATTTACTTGAAACACTAAAGTACATGTTTTTCTATATTTAGTGTCAGTTGCTATATTAACTTTTAGTTAATCTAAAATTTTATAGCACTTTTTGATAAAAGCTCTCACCTCATCTCCCATTTGGGGAACAAAAGGAGATTTTCGAAGTGCTGTGTCAGTTATCCAAACAGGAGGATGGTAGTCATATAACACATCTTCGTTTACTGGCTGTGTGGGAGTACTATTCTGCACATTCTGATAAACAGGATAGTTATACATTAGAAATTATGTTCTTGGTGCAGTGTCATGAAAACTTGTTATCCAAGAATTTCTTCTAAAGTCTACACAAAATTAATACCATGAAACAATAATAAATTAAGCTCTATACAAGACCTTAAGACCAAAAATCTCCTAAAGCCCACATTTTGGTACTCAAGTTTGGTATTCTGGTTCTTCCTATATTTGCAGTTCTTCCATTGTCATCATTAAGTAGGTCAACCATAAAGTATTCTACTCCCAATAAACTTGTAGGGCACAGTTCTCTCAGAGCTGCATGGTAGTTCTTAACGTGACTGTCAAAAGACTTGTCTAATTTTTGAAACTACTATTCTATTGTGCACTGTCTGGCAACTACATATTGATTATGTATATATGTCATTTTATTAAACAGAAAACCTTCAGACTATTTAAATGTATACCAAGTGTAGCTTAAAGCAAAGAAATTCCAAGTTATTATGTATCTGCCACTTCAAAACTAATATTCAGAATCAAAGGTGATTATATAATCAAAGTAATTCTTTGAGAAAAACAGACTTACGAATAGATCATCATATATTTTATATTGTATGACATCATACATTTGAAAGGCACTCTTTTACCACCAGTCCCCTGGCTACAAGAGTTGCAAAACTGCCTGAAGCGCTTAAAGATTCCAGTTCTCCACATTATTACAGAATGCTATTTTCCACCACTTTAGAATTTACCAAGGAATTCAGGGTAAAATTCCCCCTCTGTGCAGAGGGCCAGCACAAGGCCTATAAACCATTTAATACTTGTGCTGTTTTGAAGACTTAAGTTGTTTAAATGAATGATTATTTACATCCCTTTGGTGATAGGGCTGAGGTTCTAACCAGTTATTTTCTTTAATTTATTAAAAAAGTTCCTATCCCATATCAAGTATGGTGAACCATGTGATGTTTGACTAGGAGAATGTGACTTCACTTTGGATGCAGAATTTGCCCTGGTTATTCTAGGCCTGTTGAATTACTACTGTGCATTCTCTGTGAGGCATACCTTTAAAAGATTCAGAAAGTGAAGCTGGTGCAGAATGCAATCACCTGTCTATTAAGCAGTACAGTATGCAGACAGTCTTATCTGCCTTTAAACTCTCTGGAAACTTATTCGCAGCCAGTAAAGTGTTGGTTTTAAACAATAAAGCTTTAAATGGTTTGGGAGCTGGTTACCAAGGAAGACACATCTGCTCTCTAACGTAATACTACTACAACTGTAATCAGTGGAGATGTCAGAGCTGGAGTCCCATCAATGAAAATTAAGACATTTTGTAGAAGAATTAAATTCCAGAGTCACAGGTCTCCCAAACCCAGATTTCTGGCCTTCTAGGCATCCGACTTTTCAAATGGGCACTGAGAAACAGTGGCAAGCTTATAAGAGTGGATCAGCTGGATATGGAAAGGTTTGTGTTGAGGATATTAAATGGCAGTTCAATTAATTTGTTTTTAGATGTTTTTGTATCAAAAACTGTTTTAAAATTCAGAAAAGCACCAAAAGTATTCTAAAATCTAAACAAATAAAACCCTTAAATATGTGCATTCCTTGCTTTTGTATTCAAAGCTGCTATAAAAGTGGTAAAGGGTAAGAAAAACCATCTGTTTGGACCCCATAAGAGTGCGGAGGCTTTAGTTACCTGTTGTAAAGCGAAGTCCATAAAATGTAATTAGACAATGTAATGTTGCTGGGAGGGGGGAATTTTTGAAAAGGGGAAGGAGCCCAAGGTTAACTTTAAGACAACCATAGTTAGTAATATCACAAACACCTCTGCCTAATACGGAGGTAAAGTATACAAACTCCATAAACTTCCAGGTACAAGAGATTTAAAACATAAAAAGAGATATCGATGAAGAATTAAGTGAATAGAAGGAATTAACAGTATAATACCTCTTCCTGCTTTTTCGGTTTCGGTTTTTTCCTTCTTTTTCTTCTCCTCTTTGGAGGAAAAGATTTCTCTGCTGATACTTCATCTTCTGAAGTACTACAATATCTGATAGCTTTGCGTCGAGATGTTCGTACAGGAGGCTTGAGATTTATCCCTGCATCAGCTATCCAGTCAGAATATCTACTTGAAGAGTCACTGTTCATGGGGAAAATAATGGAAACAAATGGAATTTAGATATTCAAACAGCTGACAATTAGTTAAGAATGTTAAATGAATTCTAACAATATTTGTAGATATAAAGTTCCCTTTCCACTGTCCAGTTCTTCAGTGGTTTTGGAGGTTGTCAGGAGGAGTAGAGGAAGGTTTAATTGCTGCGATACATTTCAAAAGAATTTCTAATTCCTTCACTTTGGCTAGCATTTTAACTTATGGCACTAATTCTTCAGTCACTAGCATGCAACTATGACATTTTTGTCCTTATAGAAATTCTGTACAACATTTAATGTGTTCCTTTACTGTATTTCAGAAGCAGGATTCCAATAAATAGGAGCATCCTGCCTACTCATAGGCAACAGAAGATACATACTTTCAGACATCTCTTATTTCATTGACCGTTTAAAAAACAAAACACTTTCCTTTTCTAAAAGACATGCTAACCATAGCTTATTATTGTTAGACAGGATTCCAACAAAAACAGCTGTAACTTGGCATGGACAGTCATCCCTGAGGATGAGAACAGTTTTGAAAAAATTATGTTTGATTTAACGATGTTTGAGAATCAGAATATGCCACACTAAATATATGTAAATTTTTATTAAGCTTATAGGCACAGACTTTAAGATATACAGTGCACATTGTGTGCAGCTAACTAAGTGCATACTTTTGAAGACAAGTCTGCTGTTATCAAACATTTATAATTGTTAAACTATGGATTTCACGACGGCTTAGAAATCAGGCCAATTTAGAAGAAGTTTGGATTAGTAGTAAAAAGAAACAGTTACTTACAGCAACTGTGGTTCTTCAAAATATGATGCAGCCGTTTATTCCAAGTCTCGTGCTCCGTGCACAGTGGAGCACCAGACTTTTGCCTAGCAATACCCATAGGAGGGATGGTGCTCATGCCTGTAGCCCTTTCCTTGGCTATCTGAGGCAGCACCGCTCCGACCCCCCCCCCCCCATTCCTTTACACCGAAAGCCCAGGAAAAGACACCAATGCAGAGGGGATGGAGGGTGGGTCGTGGAATACAAGTCTGCCTCGCATCACAAAGAACCACAGTTACAGCAAGTAACTGTTTCTTCTTCGAGTAGATGCAGACATGTATTCTAAGTATGTGACTAGGGAGTAGTACCTCCATCCAGAGGCAGGGCTCAGTCTACCTGAGCAAGGATCGCAGGACCACTCTTCCAATATTATTGTCCGCTCTGGAAGAAGTGGTGATCACACAATGATCCATAAATGTATGCACGGACGACCACGTGGCTGCCCTACAGATGTCCAATATGGACATGTCATTTGGGAATGCCACTGACATTGCCTGTCTCTGATCAAATGTCCCCATACCAGCTGAGGAGGCATAGCCGATGCTATCTCATATGCAGTCTTAATGCAATACATTAGCCATCTAGAGATGGTCTGCTCAGAGACAGCTTGTCCTTTCATACCGTCTGTACGTGATATAAACAGGTGAAGTGAAGCCCGAAATTGTTCAGTCCTGTTCAGATGGAAGGATAGACAGCATCTAATGTCAAGGATATGGAGGCGTTGTCACTCCATGGAAGAATGCAGCTTAGGGAAAAATACAGGCAAATACATCGCTTGGTTCAAATGAAACAGAGACCACCTTGGATACACACATTGGGAGTGGCTGAAGCGTAATTATGTCCCTGAAGAACTGAGTCTAAGGAGGCCCAGCCATTAGGGCCTGTAACTAACACACCCTCCTGACAGAGGTAATGGCTATCGAGAATGCAGTTTTCTGACACAGAACAGGCAGCAGACAGGAAGCAAGGGGCTCGAATGGAGGCCCCATTAGAGCCGCTAAAACAGTGTTCAGGTCCTACAAGGGATCCGGCTCTCGGACTGGAGGATGCAGGCGGAGGAGCCCTTTCAGAGATCGTGTCACCTTGGCACTGGAAAAAACCAATTTCCCTTGGGTAGGTGGATGAAACACTGATATTGCTGCTAAGTGCATTCTCAGACAATTGAGTGCTAGGCCCAATTCCTGATGATGTAACAGGTACTCTAAGATGTCCTGGATGGAAGCCTCTGCTGGATGGGTCCCCATGGGCCAAGGACCATATGGAAAACCTCTTCCATTTTGCCAAGTAGGGTGTTCTAGTAGAAAGCTTCCTACTATTAAGTAGGACCTGTTGTACGGCCTCCCAGCAACACCCATCCTCCTCATTCAGCCATGCCATAAAGGTGCAATGAGCTGATCACTGAATGCAGTGTAGACGTAGTCCTTTGTGAGGAGGTTGGGAAGAAGAGGAAGCAGCATGGGAGGCTGAACTGACAGAGCGAGGAGATCTGAGAACCAGTGCTGCCTCAGTCACGCCAGGGCAATGAGGATGAGTCTGGCTCAATTCATCTTCAGCTTGGTGATGACCTGGGGAAGGACCGGGATAGGAAGGGATGCATACAGCAGAGCCGACTTCCAGCTGCAGTGGAAAGCATCAGAGAGAGAACCCAGGATGAGTCCCTCTCGAGAGCAGACTAGGCAACACTTTCTGTTTTCCCTCGTCACAAAGAGGGAAATTGTGGGAACGCCCCATGTTGCGAACATCAGCCAAAGGACTTCTGTCTTTAAGGACCGCTCATGGTTGGGAAGTAAACTCTGCTGAGATGATCGGCAAGACAGTTCTTGACCCCTGATACGTGAATAGCTATCTGGGTGATGTCTCTTCAATACAGAACTGCCACATGTTGATCGCCTCCAGGCAGAATGATCTGGAGTGAGCTCCCCCTTATCTGTTCATATAATACATTGTGGTGGTATTGTCCTTAAGTATGTGAACCACTAAATGCCTGATCTGGTCCTGGAAAGCATAACACGCATTGTGGATGGCCTGAAGCTCCAACACACTGATATGGAGTAAGGCCTCCTATTCTGATCACAGATCCTGCAACTGCAGCAAGTCCAGATGCACTCCCCAACCCAGAAGGGACACGACGGTAACCAATGACTTCGTCAGAGAAGGCTGAGCAAAGGGGACCTCTTGCCCACATTGCTCTGGTGGGAATCTCCATGTAAGGACTGCAGGACTGATGGAGGAAGGCGAACCAACCTGCCTAGAGAATGTAGGGCAGGGCGGTAAACCATCCTGAGCCACATCTGCCAAGGTGGACTATGTGCGGACATGCGGCCCAACAGGCTCAGGCACACGCAGACTGTGGTGGACGGTTGTGATTGCAAACTGAGGCACAGCTAGTGAATCGTCTGAAAGCAGTTGGTCGGCAGGAACGCTCTTGGCCTCATGGAATCTAACAGGGCCCCAATGAACTATTTGGGGAGTGGAAGTGGAGGTCAACTTCACGGTGTTTATATTGAGACCCAAATGGTCGAGTAAGCATAGTGTGGTGTCGGTGTGGGCGAAAACCTCCTCTCTGGAGCTGCTTTCAGCAACCAGTCATCAAGGTAGGGGAAGATTTGGATTCTCTTCCTCCTGAGGTACGCCATGACCACTGCCATTCATTTGGTGAAAACCCAGGGGGCAGAAGAGAGCCCAGACAGGAGAACTGTGTACTGAAAGTGGCAGTCTCCTACCATTAAGCAAAGAGACTTCCTGTAACTCGGCAGAATGGCCACATGGAAGTAGGCATCTGCAAACTCCACAGCAGTGAACCAGTCATTCTGAGACAAAACAGGGAGGATAGCTGATAGAATGACCACACAGAACTTCATGTGCTTGATGAATTTGTTGAGTTCACGGAGGTCAAGGACAGACCTCATCCCATCCTTGGATTTCGGTATCAGGAAATACTGGGAGTAAAACCCGCAACCATGGCATTCTCACAGAACCTCCTCCACCACTCCCAATGCTACCAGAGAGCTGACCTGCTTGAAGAGCAGCATCTCATGATAGGGGCCCTTAAAGAGGGATGGAGAGGGGGTGTGGGTGTGGAGACAAATTGGATGGCGAAACCTGATCTGCCAGTGCGTAGGACACAGTGGTCAGACATTATCAAGACCCAGGCATTGTAAAAGCGGGACAGCCTGTCCCCAAAGGAACGGGTGGATGACAAGGGAGAAAACACAACAACTGGAACAGGGCTCTAGACAACAAGTCAAAATGGGTGTTTAGCAGATGTCCAAGGAGGGTGTGCAGAGAGGCCAGGCCCCGAGCTCGAGTGCTTCCTCTTGTGAGACTTATCCCTCCTCCTGGGGTAGGCTCACTGTCTTGGGGGGAAGGGGTGCTGTGGCCTGTATGGCTGTTGTTGCTGCGCCCCGTAACGGTGTCTCTACGCAGGTGGCATATACACCCCCAGCGACCTTAGGGTAGCCCATGAAGCCTTAAAGGAATGCAGGGTTTCATCAGTCTTGGCCAAAAACAAGGTCTTATAATTGAACGGCAAGTCCTCAATAGCTTGCTGGACATACAGTGCAATTCCTGAGTTCTGGAGCCAGGAAGTCCTCCTCATAGTAATTTTCCAAGGCCATCGCCCTGACAAAGTGTCCGTCACATGAAGGGCAGATTGCAATGACTTTTTACCACTAAGCAGCCCTCAGCAACAAAACAACCAAAATTCATCCTGGAAAGCTCCTTAAATTTGGCCATAGCCGACCAATTGAGGAAGTCATATTTGGCCAGCAGGACTTGCTGGCTTGCAATCCTCATCTGCACTGATGATGAGATGTGTATCTTCCTGCCTAGAAGATCTAGGCACTCTGAGTTTCTGTCCTTGGAGGACGACTTGAATCTGCTCTGCTGAGCCCTGTCATTTACTGCTGTGACCACCAGGGAGTTCAGGGCCAGATGAGAATAAAACCCTTTGTATCTCTGTACTGGCACAAAATAGCTCTTCTCCAACCACGTGGCCACCAGTGATACCAAGGCGTGCCTCATTAATAGGGAGAGCCACTCTCCCAGGGACAGAGGACTGGAGAATGTCCACGAGTTTATGGGTATTCTCCTGGAGAAACTCCACCTGAATATCCAGTGACAAAGCCACCTGACGTAACAGGTCCTGGTATGCCCTGAAGTCCTCTGGGTGGAAGGGGAGGATGAACCAGGCAAAACCGTACCATCCAGGGACAAGGATGAGGCTGTTGGCTGGACTACTGGCAGATCCTGCTCCCTGGACAGTGTCTCTGGACGAGGAAATTCTGGCTGCTCCACGGGATGGGGAACTGCAGGCATCTGGACTTGTGGCTGGTCTGCAGCCCCTAATGCTGCATCAGAAGGGGATCTCGCTTTGACTTTGACAACAAGCAAGACCTCCAGGAACAAGGGGCTTGTCACTGGGGCCAAGGTGGCCACTGGTATGGGTAAGGAATTGGGGGCCAGTAGGCGCCAGGCCAGGGGCTCCATCCAGGCCTCGAGGCGCATGCCAACTTTGGTAGCCATACTGCTCCACCAGTGGTCTCCAGACTTCTTCAGGTGACCTCGAGTGGGAGGGCGAGAAGCCCGACTCTGAAGCATAGGAGTCCCAGGACCTAGGAGACATGGGAGGGGCGATTCCAATGGGCAATCCGACTTGTCTGTAGCCCAGAACAAGGTCGAGATAGGTGACCCCAATGTAATCTGCCACACTAGTGCTGAAAAGACTGATGCAGCAGGCAAGGTCAGTCTTGGTGCAAACAACGGTACTGAAGCACCCGGGTGCGCTGACATCAAGGGCGGAGAAAGCCTCCATGGAACCATCTGTGATGTTGATTGTGTCGGTGTTGAGGACCAGTGGCGAGGATGGGACCAAAGGGCAAAGTAGGTCTGCCGCAGCCTGGTACGTCAACACCACTGACACTGTCAGTACCAGCACTGTTCTTATCGGTACCAGCCTCAACAGATGCCTGCAACCAAACTTGATGGTATGAGGCATCTGCCCTTCCCCCCCCTCTACCGATGGGGTGTCAGAAGCTTCAGTACTGGGTCAGGCCTCATGGACTGCTCAACCAGGTGCCGCTTAAGGCAAAGGTCCCGTGCCACGTAAGTCCTCTTTTTGAATGATCTGCAGATCAAACAGTGCTCCTTAAGATGAGCTTCGCCAAGGCAGAGCAAGCACCATGTGTGGGGGTCACTGTTAGGAATCTCCACTCCCCACAAATGGCAATGCTTGAACCCAGGTGAGGGCATCACTGGGGAGCACTGCCACTAACACTATGCAATATACTGTAACTTTTAACTAATACTACTATTAATTATATACAGTAAAAAACTAATTGCGAGGTTGTGAAGCGAGAACCACACAGAGCTCCGACTTCAGCTGACAAGTGGTGAGAAGGAAACAGAGTGGTCAACATGGGTTAATTACAACATGGGTTTACGAAAGGCAGGTCGTGCCAAACCAACCTGATCTCCTTCTTTGAGAAAGTAACAGACCTTCTAGATAAAGGAAATGCGGTGGATCTAATATACCTCGATTTTAGTAAAGCATTTGATACTGTTCCGCATGAGGAATTATTGGTTAAATTGGATAAGATGGGGATCGATAGGAAAATCCAGAGATGGATAAGGAACTGGTTAAAGGGGAGACTGCAGCGGGTAGTACTGAAAGGTGAACTGTCAGATTGGAGGGAGGTCACCAGTGGGGTTCCTCAAGGTTCAGTTCTGGGTCCGATTTTATTTAATCTATTCATTACTGACCTCGGAACCAAATGTAGGAGTGGGCTGATAAAGTTTGCGGATGACACAAAGTTGGGAGGCATTGCCAACTCGGAGAAGGATCGGGATATTCTGCAGGGAGACTTGGATGACCTTGTAAATTGGAGTAATAGTAATAGGATGAGATTTAATAGTGAGAAGTGTAAGGTGATGCATTTAGGGATGACTAATAAGAATTTCAGTTATAAGCTAGGGACACATAGGTTAGAAGTGACTGAGGAGGAGAAGGACCTCGGAGTCCTGGTTGATCGCAGGATGACTATGAGTCGGCAATGCGACGTGGCTGTGAAAAAAGCTAATGCGATCTTGGGATGCATAAGGCGAGGTATTTCTAGTAGGGACAGGGAGGTGCTGCTTCCGTTATACAAGGCGCTGGTGAGACCTCACTTGGAGTACTGTGTGCAGTTCTGGTCTCTTATGTTTAAAAGGGATGAACTGAAACTGGAACGGGTACAGAGAAGGGCAACTAGGATGATCCGAGGAATGGAAAACCTTTCCTATGAAAGGAGACTCGAGGAGCTTGGTTTGTTTAGCCTAACCAAAAGAAGGCTGAGGGGGGATATGATTGCTCTCTTTAAATATATCAAAGGGATAAATACCAGGGAGGGAGAGGAATTATTTCAGCTCAGTGCTAATGTGGACACGAGAACGAATGGATACAAGCTGGCCGTGGGGAAATTTAGGCTTGAAATTAGACGAAGGTTTCTAACTGTCAGAGGGGTGAAATTTTGGAACAGCCTTCCGAGGGAAACGGTGGGGGCGAAAGACCTCTCTGGCTTCAAGATTAGGCTAGATAAGTTTATGGAGGGAATGGTTTGATGGGATTACGTGATTCTAATCAATTAGGCAATAACGGCCATCGCTGGTAAAATGAGGGTCTGGCTAGAGAATCTTGCCTGTATGCTCGGGGTTCTGCTGATCGCCATATTTGGGGTCGGGAAGGAATTTTCCTCCAGGGTAGATTGGCAGTGGCCCTGGAGGTTTTTCGCCTTCCTCCGCAGCATAGGGCAGGGGTCGCAAGCTGGAAGATTCTCTGCGACTTGAAGTCTTTAGATCACGATCTGGAGACTTCAACAGCAGAGTTAAGGGAAAGTGGGGGGGTCAGCTTTTGTGGCCTGCATCATGCGGGGGGTCAGACTAGATGACCATATTGGTCCCTTCTGACCTTAAAGTCTATGAGTCTATGAGTCAGGACAACGCTACCTCATATAGCCAAGGGACAGGCTACAAACATGAGCGCTGTCACTCTACTTGGAATACACGGCTGCATCTACTCAAAGAACAATGTTGGCAAACTCTGGGATCACTAAGTCTTCTGCACGGACACAGAAACATGTACATAGCTTAAAACAGACATTAGCCAAATCACGCCTATAAATTCTTAAAGGAGACAGTTATGACGTTAAAAGGTGAAACTTGCCTGTGCTTTCCCTTGTCTATTAGCCCTACTACTGGGGACATCTTCCAACTTTTTCCTTTACAAGCCTATGAAATTAAATGTAAAGGACTTACTATTCACAGATCCTTAATATGCACTGAAGACTCACATCAGGAAATAAAAATTCTGCATTTCTCATATTAAAACAATATATGTCACCACACATTCTTACATTCACAAACTGTCTTTGAGAAAGTGTGGTATCAGACTACTTAGCTTTTGTATTTGCTGATTTCTGAGTCCTTAATTTATCTTATGCACTTCTTATGATAAATTGGAGAGCTGGCCTGAATTCAACAAGATGAAATTCAATGAAGACAAATGCAAAGTACTTCACTTAGGAAGGATAAAATCAAATGCAAAACTACAAAATGGGGAATAACTGGCTTGGTGGTAAGTACTGCTGAAAAGGATCTGGGGGCTATCGTGAATCATAAATTGAATAGGAGTCAATGTGATGCAGTTGTGAAAGGTTAATATTAACAAGCATGTTGTATGTAAGTCAGGGGAGGTAATTGTCCCACTCTATTTGGCATTGGTCAGGTCTCAGCTGGAGTAGAGTGTCCAGTTTTGGGTGCCATACTTTTGGAAAGATGTGGACAAACTGGAGAGAATCGAGAGGAGAGCAACAAAAATGATTAGAAGTCTAGAAAACCTGAGCTATGGGGAAAGGTTTAAAAAAACTGGCCATGTTTAGTTTTGAGAAAAGACAACTGGGGGGTGGGCCTGATAACAGTCTTTAAATATTTAATGGCTGTTATACAGAGGACTGATCAATTGTTCTCTATAACCACTGAAGTTAGGACAAGAAGTAATGGGCTTAATCTACAGCAAGGGAGATTAGGTTAGATATTAGGAACAATTTTCTAACTATAAGGGTCGTTAAGCCCTGGAATAGATTTCCAAGGGAGGCTGTGGAATCCCCTAACACTGGAGGTTTTAAAGAATAGATTGGACAAACACCTGTCAGGGATGGTCGAGATTTACTTGGTCCTGCCTCAGTGCAGGGGACTGGACTTGCCTTCTCGAGGTCCCTTCCAGGCCTACGTTTCTATGATTGATAATAAAAGTCACCATGGTAATTCAAATATCAACTTTTTAACTTTAACGTTGCCTTAACAAGATATTTGTATTTAGCATACACAAAATGTGGCTTCACTTTTTTTAAAACAATCATTTCAGTAAGAGTAAAGAAGTGAATATTGGCAAGGTTTTTTGTCTAACACACACACCGGTCCCTTGACTGAGCATCTTTCTTGATTGTTGGTAAAAAGCCCCTAATCCCAGGATGTTTTCAGAGAATGGATTTCTTCAAGTAGCCTAATCATGCTAGAACTTTATATGGGAGATTTTAATCTACATTTGTGTAGACATTCAAAAACAAAATTTGACAACATTCAGGAGAGACTTAAGTGAGAAAGTGGAAATTTTTTTTTT